CCCAAAAAAAAAAAAATCGCATTAGTTATAATTTATAACTTTTTTGATAACTAATGACTTTGAAATAAAAACAGTTATTGCATTAAAAATATGTGATTATTATTAAAAAAAAATTTTTTAACAATGTAATAATTTTAAGATTATTAAAATATTATATTTTAATAATCATATTAAGTTATATAAATGTAAATATTATTGTGTAAATTAAAAAGACACTTTTCTTGCTTTTTGTGAAGCGAATTTATCAATAGTATCATTAAAAGAAATTGTTTTTACGATGTCTTTCTCAATTGATAAAATTGCCATGCTAGTGAGACGACTTTGACTCATTGTAGATCTTAGATAATTTTTTATGATTTTTAATTTGCTAAAGCTCCTTTCGCATGAAGCTGTTGTCACAGGAATTGTTAAAAATATTCTTAATGCTACTTCTAAATTAGGATATAAGTCTTGGAAAGAGTACTTATGAATATGTTTTAAAATATCTAGGTGGGTAGCCTTCTCAAATGAGGTCATTAATAATGGACCCTGATATTTAAAGCTTTCAATTTCAGAGTATAACTCTGTAGCATTCAGATCCCGATCGTATTTTAATGCTAAGTCATTAACCCAAAGTTTTATGTTTTCAGACTCCATAGTTGATAATGAGTTACCTGACAAGAAACTAAAATCACATGCTATTTGTGACATTTTTTCAAACCTCCAACATAAACTAGAAAGTATAGAATCTAATGCTTCAAAACATTGAGCTCTAAATTCACTTTCTGTTGATTCATAACTTTTATTTTCTCTCTCTGTTGGTTCAACACTTACAGGTTTAATTTTAAGCTTCCTTTTGTTTGTAAATTCTGATAAAATATTTAAGGAAGTGGCCATATCTTTTGCTTCACACAAACATTTTTGAAAACCTTCTTCCCTTATTTCTTGAATTGATTTTATTAAACCATTCAACATTTTATCAGCTACATCTATAGTCTGATTTTTAGTTTGCAATGCAATATTGACGTAGTCTATCTGATTTAAAACTATGTTCCATAAATTAAGTAAACATAAAAATTTTAAATTTATTTGATATAATAAATGTTTAGCACCTTGTTTTGTATCATTATTAAGTTTAGAATCTTCAGACAAATTTTTCAATATTTCATGAACACCTTTTATGTTATTTTTAAGTACGCTTATGGCTTGCTTTTTAGTAGACCAACGCGTATCACAGTGAGGTTTTAATGTTATTTTGAGCACACTTTTCATTTTTTCCCATCTTGATGTTGACCCAGAAAAATATGTGAATAGTTTTTGGATAACACCGAAGAACGTAATAATAGTTGAAGAAGTTTGTGCCGCATGTACGCCAATTAAGTTCAAGCTGTGAGCAGCACATGGAACAAATATAGCCAAAGCATTTTTTGAAATAATATGGGCCTGAACTCCATTATAAATTCCAGCCATGTTGGCTCCATTATCAAATCCTTGTCCTCTGCAATCTTGGATGTTTAAACCATCTTCTTTCAATTTACTCAATATTTCATCAGCTAGTCCTGCTCCAGTTTTATCGTGGCTTATGACAAAGTCAACAAACGATTCCTCAATAGTTACTTCTCCGTCAACAATTTTTACATATCGTATTATTTCAGTTAACTGCTCCTGGTGAGAAATGTCTGGTGTACAATCGAAGAGAATTGAAAAATATTTAGATTTGTTTATTCTATTTAAAATTTCATGTTTAACTTGTTGGCCCATAAATGTAATTAGTTCATTTTGAACAATAGGTGAAAAATAACTGAGAACTTTATTTTTACTGTAACTATCTTTGACATTATTTACATGTTCGGCTAGTAAAGGATCATAATGACTTATTAATTCGATTAAGCCGAGAAAAATTCCACAATTATCATCGCCTACTTTGTCAGATGAACCTCTTAATGGCAAATTATTTTTAGCGCAAAATAATATTACATTACAAATTGTTTTAAGTATATTACACCATTTATTTTTTTCAAATTGAATGATTTTTTGCAAATCATTATCAATAGTTTTACCATCTTTTAATCGTTTTTCAAACTCCTTCCAATCTACATAACATTTTTGATGAAAATCACTTAATTCATGTTCAGAAATTCGAGGATTTAAGTGTTGCCAATCACTAAACCCGTTGTCAAAAAATGGAGATTTTCGTTTATTTTTATATATTTTATTTTTAAAAAGCAAACATGGAAAACAGAACAGAGCATCTTTACTAATACTATACACTAACCACTGTCTTCTCACATTTTCACCATTCGGTAGAGATTTAAAAAACCATTTACCATCAAAATGTCTCCCATCTGCATTTAATGGAAAGTAATGATTTACGTCAAGATGATACGGTTTCTGTTCAATAATATGTGTTCGAATGTTGTCTGTCAAGAGTGGCCAAAATCCAGGGTCATTAAAATATTCTTTATTTATAAAAACATTTTCGTCTTTCTGAATAATTTGTTGTTCAATATTTTCTTCTAGATTTAGTGCATTTTTTGACGTTGTTTCCAATGGTGTTTCAACTGTTTCAAGTTTCAAATCATAAGATTTTCGTTTTTGACCTAATGGTTCAACGAGTGCTGCACAAGCAACATCCTTTTCATGATTTTCATTGTTAACTTTTTGAGTTAACCAATGTGCCATATTTGTTGCCAATTTTTCATTTTGTTTTTTTTTCTTATTTCTTTCTTTTTCAAACCATGCTCCAGAATGTTTTTTTGAAGCCATTATATTTTTAAACTACCAGTTCTATTAAAAAAAGTTAAATCATGAAAATGCTGAAACGATAATATACTAAAAATTCAATACTTTTAGTTTTTAATATATAATTGACTCGCGATAGTCCGACTAGTCAACGGTTTAGTATATCATAATTCGCCGTTAGTTCCTCGCTATGTTTAGTAATATTATGATTTTAGTATTAAATAAATTTCTCTTTTTTTTGTAAAAACTTAAGTGTGACTTCATTATTTTAAATAATTTCTAGTCAAATATTACATAAAAATACACCGTTAACTACATTTCCAAACATATGCACTGCAAATTCAATTAAACAGAGCCAACCTTTGGTAATCCAACATCCACACGGTCCCGTAGAGTCGGACTATCGCGATTCAACTGTATAAGATTTTGAAATTTAGGCTATAGAGCGTATAATATAGACAGATGAATTGCGGTCCGTACAATAGGTTATACAAGATGATATTTTCAATGAGGTTACTCATTAGCTAATAAAATTTACTTAATTTATTTTAGCTTCGATACGAAGCTGAGAAGGTATTGGTTTTACTATGATGTGTTTTTTTTTTTTTTTTTTTT